TAATATTTCAGTACATGTTTTTTGACGATATAATGAACAGTCGATTTAGGTGTACTGTTTGCCTCTTATTCTTATGTCCGAACGTTTTTCTATCCCATTTTTTAATTAAACCACTTCGAGATGCACATTTTAAGTTTTTATGGTTCGATAATCAAGTTGTAGTTAAGTTGCGTGTTATCGAAAAAATTCATACTACTTCCGTTCGTTTTTTCTCTAAATCGAATTTTTCTGTGTTACTGGAGGAAGGAGCTTATGAGGCGAACATGGCTGAACAAGATACTAGTGATAAACTTACACAAAATTTTGATCCAGTAACAAAAAGAAAACGCTTTTTCTCGTACTTGAACTATATGAAAAGATTTATTTCCATGAGAAACCAAAAATTTTGGTAGAAATTGATGCCTTTCTATCGGAAAAAAGCACTGAATCTAGTGTAGTTTTCTTTGAAAAAGAACTCATTATCCTGTTCTATATGAACTTGGTCTAAAGTACCTGTTAGTAACAGCTACATCAGCTCGTATTGAAAAAATATTCTCTCTAAGTGGTTTTGTAATGCGTCGACATCCTGCGTTGTTAACTTCAAAAAGTGTATGTTTACTTGCTTTTCTTAAATGCAATGAAATTTTGTTGTAGTTTGATTTCTTGAAACTTGATAATAAAAGTGATTTGAAACATTTTGATTTATGACATAAACAATTCCTCGATGCCGAAATTGATACATTATCTCCAACACTACTAATTAACCCTTTCAGTCCTATAGTAGCAAAAATGCTACACATGTTTTATGATTATTTCTCACAACATTATTTATAAAAATTAGTACGTAATTTATTGAGTGGGGTAGGTGTGGGTGTCTGTGGATGTGTGTGGATTATTGGAGAAGTACAATCTACACTCGTACCCACCCACACGCGCAAAAATCAATTAATATAACGATCTCGTTGAATTACATCGAACAGAAATAATTTAGGACTGAAAGGGTTAAAGTGTTCCTATTGAAGTCACACGAAAAAAGCGCTCACGTACTCGTACTCGAAAAAGTCCGTACTTGCCCAGCTCTGGAAAATTCGCATTTTTATTCCCACAATGGATGTATGTAGTTATAAAGTGTGTATACAACAACTTGTACTGAAAAGTCTTTATTTTGGTTTTTCCACATTTGGTAGTCGAACTAAACAATTAGGGTGTGGGTGTGGATGTCACTATTATCATTCACAGCCCCACACCCACGCCCAATCGGCTTCTAACTTTGACTATATGAAAAAAAGGATGCGAGAAATAAGCATCCTTGTTGAACTTGAAATGGATGCTAGTTAAATGATATTAATAATTTGTACAGAAGTTTTATCGTTTTTCGATGTAAAAGGTTTCTACCACTAATGTTACGTTGTTCATCTGTTTATGAAATGATTTCTACTGTATATATTCACTTCATAGCTTTATATTATGTTTCTCATAAAGTCAAATGAATATTTTGTGTTTTTTATTCGGAACTTTTTATTGTAAAGAATGCGGTAGAAAGAGACTATTTCGTTTAATCTTAGTACTACTAAGCACACCAACACCCTTTGAATATTTCTCATCATAGTTTGTTTTTCTCGTTTTTTTTTGTAGAAGCTTTATTTCAACAAAAAAAATCATGAACGTCAAAGGAAATGCTAAAACAATGAAAACAAAAATGAGCAGATGTTAGAAGAAGTCAAGCTAGAAAATCTATTTACGAAAAGTACATATGTGTTCATTGTGAAGATAAAACTTTCTATTCATTTCCTTGTGTGTAAATAGCTTTTATGTTCAAATAACGCTTGAAGATAAAACAATGAAATTAGAGTATAATTTTCTAATGCTTTTTTAAAAATTGTTATATGACATGTTGCTGAATAAATCATATAAGAATGATTATTTTTTATTTCAATTCTAATGATCATTTCAAATAAAAGCAAGTAGAATTCATCAGAAACATGAAATAGTAGTAATAATAAGTTGATATTCGAGATTCATTTCATATATTTATTTCTAGGACAGTAAATGACTAATAAGATAATTATATGAAATAACAATTATTCGGTAACGAACAATAAAGACAAAATCGACCCGGCACAAAAAAAAATTTCTGATTAGTTTTACAGTATGAGAAAGATAGTTTAGTTTTGTCAAACTGATTAAATCTCACACATGAAAAAGGATATTTGATTAGTATCTTGATTTCAATATGTCTCATAATTTTAACATCATGTTATCAGAAGCTTCCGTAACTATTAGCAAATACAGAGGAGTGCAAAAAGTTTTAACTCATTTTCTACAACATCTCTACGTCTTTAATATCCACTTTTTAATTCCATCTTTCATACAGTTGATAGAACTAGTTCTCCGTATTTTCGTTGTATACGACCATATTTCTGTGTCGCCAAATAATCGCAAGTATCCAGATAGACCAATTTTGGTAAGTAATAGTTGTTTTATTTTAGAGGCGCTTTCTTATAATTGTAAATGAGAAAAAAATTCACTTAACATGAGATCTATTATTGAATTAACTCATGTTTTTCTAAAGATTTAGAAACTCAACAGCAAAAATGTATTAGAATCGAGAACTTTCATTGAAAATTTTCTAGCATTCACACTTAAAGTAGAGACCATTTTTTTGAACGACTTGACTCGAGACTGACGGTACTATATTGATATACAGATTCTTGATAAGTTGTAATTTAATGGTGAAAAGTAAATCTTAGCATGAATGGCAGCATGTAGTAACATCCAGAGTTAAATTTTTTATTCGTCAACAGTTATAGTGAAATATTTCCAGAACTCAGGAGAATGCCTACTTAATGACTTCTTTCCTAACTTTATCTATTTCAAAATGGTTTTGATTGAGTCAAAAATGAATACTAAATACGCTTAATTCATATAAAATATTTTATTTCAGAATACAATTAGAGAAAGTCAAAAGGAAACTATTTTATTGGTACTATTCTAATCAACTATGAATACTTTACAATTATTAGTATTTCTATTGTTATTTAATATATTCGACACTCACTATTCGATGTATCATTCAAATGATCAAACAAGATCTAATTCTTTTTTTGATTGTTTTTATGCACATATGATTGATTATGATGAATATATTGATTTTTCGCAAGTAACAATTTATCATCTGATTCCATACTGTCGAAGACCAGATCAAAATGAAATGAAAGATCATTTGTCAAATATTTCAATGAATAATATAGACAAAATTATTACATTTAATGAATTATATAAACAAGGTGTAACAAGTCAGCAATTACTTGAATGGTCGGCATCAATTGATATTGCCGAAAAATATGAAATGAAAGTTTTAGATTTAACAAAAGTTTTTTATAATTGTTCATCACCTTGGTTTGGTCCTAAATGTCAATACAGATTTGATACTGAACTATCAATGTCATTTGATGATATTGTTCGAAGAAATTTTGTTGATCGCATGAAACATGACCAATTCTATGATGACCATAATGGTACATGCTATTCTTTCCTTACTAACTGCTATAATAATCAACTGTTATTATGTCTCGATTGGCGTGAAATTTGTGATGGAAAATTGGATTGTACCAATGGAGAAGATGAAAAATATTGTCAATTATTGGAAATAAATGAATGTCCTAATGACACATATCGATGCCATTATGGTGGTCAATGTATTCCATTGACATTTGTAAAAGATGGACCTATAAGTGCAGATTGTCTTGATGGTACTGACGAAATAGAATTATATGACGAAGAACTTTACCGTTCTAGAAGTGCTTGCTTTACTTTTCCAATATTTCGATGTGAAGAACATACCAGCCGGCATCTTCGATCTTTTCCATGTGGTGACGGTCAGTATACTCTTTCGGATATTGGAATTTCATCTACTGAGCATTTTTGTGCCAATGGTCGAGATATAATAGCGGCGTTCTATCGAATAAGACTTTTCCCTCAGCAATTATACTCTATTATTGATAAAATCGTCTACTCCGCATTGGCCTCGAACATCGATATTCTAAAACAAATATTACTGAATTCAACATCAATATATATGTTGATTCCTTGTGAATCTATAGGAAGAAAATGTTTAACAAATTGGTTTTTTAAGGTTGAAGTATACTATGCTTATTCAAAGTTTCACTTTATTTATTTACCGAATAGATTAGTGATGGATTTTGTCTTGTTTATTAATCCTGATTTTATTTGTTTCAATCCCAAAGATTGTCCCGCACTGACGAATTGTAACATAGATATCGGTATAAATAATGGACTCGTTTGTTGCCCTGCTAGTGAATTATTGAATGGTAGCAAAGAAATCAAAAATGCTCTTGAAAAATTATTTGTTCGTTGTTCAACGACTGGCATAGAACAATCTTGTTCACATCCATCACTTTTTCATTGTTCACTTTCATTGAAATGTATTTCAAAACATCGTCTTGTTGATGGAATTATTGATTGTTATTTTGAAGAAGATGAAATATTTCCTATTTGTCAACTAAACGATTCAAAACATTTTATTTGTGAATTTGAACAAAATAAATGTTTATCATCAATAGCAGTACAGAATGGAAAGAATGATTGTCAAAATGGTGAAGATGAAATGACTGAAAATCAACATCATATTTTAAAAGGAAATATTCCATTTGTTTTATTATGTGATGGAAAAAATCATTCATTATTATTAAAATCGAATGAAACCGATGAAACAAATTGTCAATATTGGCCATGTAATAATCCTTATGTTCGATGTAATCGTTTTCAAAATTGTCCTGATGGTACTGATGAATATAATTGTCCCAAATTAAAATGTATAATGAATGGTAATTCATGTTCTAAAACAATATTGATAAATTTATTTTGTTTTCCATTAATGGTTTTAATGGAACAATATTTAGATTGTGAAATTTATTATATTGAACAAGAAATCAATTTGAATACGACGTATAAAAATGAAACATTACAATGTTTCTCCTACAATACTTCATGCATTTCTTTAGAAGAACTCTGTGCTTATCTATCACCACTGACGCCAAATCTAGACATCTGTACATATCCTTTCAAAATATCTTGTCCATTGATAATGCCAAATTGGTTTTATTTAATTAAAAAAAATATTTGTCCTTTTTTTTTAAAAAATCTACGAAAAATAGAATTTGACAAGTCTTTTTTTATATCATCACAATTGGGATATTTTCCTGAAAATTCTAATGCATTATTGAACCAAAATAATTCTAAAATGAAACAACAATTAATTATCATTGAAAATGTGAGTGGAATGAGAAATTGGTATTGCAATCGAGGAATTCTCATTCTTTTTAATGATAATAAAACAAAAAAATGTTTATGTCCACCTAGTTATTTTGGTAATCGATGTCAATGGCAAAATCAACGAATAAGTTTAACACTTCAATTAATACATCGTGTTGAAACTTATACAATTGCAATATTTCAAATTATTATTATACTTATTGATGAACAAAAACAGATTACATCATATCATGAACAAATAACATATGTACCAAAACGTGATTGTGGTACAAAATATAATATTTATTTACTTTATCCAAATCAACCAAAGAATTCTTCTACTAATTATTCAATACATATTGATATATTTGATAAAATATCATTAAAATATTTAGCTAGTTGGTATTTATCTATTCCATTTCAATTTCTACCTGTTAATCGTATTGCAACTCAAATATTTATTCAAAATAAAAAATCTATGATTTCAAAATTATGTCCATTATATTGTGGTGAACATGGTCATTGTGTAGAATATATAAATCAAAAATTTTTATATTTTTGTCAATGTAATGAAGGATATTCTGGTGTTCAATGTAATATTAAACAAAATTGTTCATGTTCATCTGATTCATATTGTCTTACATCATCTATTTGTGTTTGTCCAATAAATAAATTTGGTTCGAAATGTTACTTAAAAAATTCAATTTGTCAAACATCAAAGAATTCTTGTCAAAATAACGGATTTTGTATACCTGTTGATGATCGTATGAGTTTAAATAAATTTACATGTTTATGTACAGAAAATTTCTATGGAAAACGATGTGAAAATAGGAAAAATCAAATTGATATTAAATTTGATGATGATAAAATTAGTATGATGTCATTCGTATTTATACATTTTATTACTGCTATTGAAAATGATAATCATCAACGTAAGACAATTTTAAAAAAGATTAATTTCGATCAGAATATAATTACAGTTTCTATAACACAGTCATTTCATATTCTTTTTATTGAATTAACAAATCGAACTTATTATTTAGGTGTATTAAGAGAAAAATTTATTGAATCTGAACATATTCAAACAAGAATATTACCAAATTATCAATGTTTGTCTATAAATGAATTAATGAATAATACTTTTCTAAATTATTCATTTATTCATCGTGCTAAATATTATCCTTATTTATGTCAACAACAAAAACAACTTAAATGCTTTTATGATAATAGATACATGTGTATATGTGATGTTAATCATTTTTCTAATTGTTTTACATTTAATCATACTTTATCATATGATTGTCAAGGAGAAAATATTTGTGAAAATGGTGGTCTATGTTTTCAAGACAATATTAAATGTCCTAGTCTATCAATATGTGTATGTCCTGAATGTTATTATGGTACAAAATGTCAGTTTTCTACAAGAGGTTTTATATTATCTCTTGATTATATTCTTGGTTATCATATTAAACCAAATGTTTTATTTCATCGACAACCATTCGTAATTAAAATTAGTCTCATTATTATAGTATTTATGTTCATTCTTGGAATGATTAATGGAGTTTTATCTATAGTAATATTCTGTAAAAAAAATATTAGACAAACTGGTTGTAGTTTATATCTTTTGGCATCATCATGTAATTCTTTACTTCTAATTATTGTATTAGTAATCAAATTTAGTCAATTGATTTTATCACAAATGGCCATTCTTACTAATCAAACATTTCTTACATTAAATTGTATATTGTTAGATATGATTCTTAAAGTTCTTATTGCATCAAATGATTGGTTTTATGGATGTGTTGCTTTTGAACGATTATTGACTGTTATTAATGGTGTCCAATTCAATCAAGTTAAAAATAAACAAATAGCTAAATGGATAATTTTATGTGTATTTCTTCTGACAATTATCACTCATATTCATGATCCAATTCATCGTCGTTTAATTAATGATTCTGATGGTGATGAACAACGATTGTGGTGTTTAGTTCAATACTCTTCTTCAATTAATATCTTTAATATATTCATTACTTTTTTTCATTTTCTTATTCCTTTTTCAATCAATTTAATCTCTACTATAGTTTTTATCATATCAATAGCTCGTTCTCGTTCTAAAGTTCGAGCTAAAATACCATTTAAAAAACATTTACAACAACAGTTATATAAAAACAAACATCATCTCTTTGCATCTTGTGCAATAATATTATTAACTATACCTCGTTTAATTATATCATTGATTCGTGGATGTATGAAATCACCAAGAGATCCATGGTTGTACATATTTGGTTATTTAATTTCTTTTATTCCATCTATGATGACAATTATAATCTTTGTATTACCAGCGAAAAAATACAAAGATGAATTTATTACGGTTATTCAACAGATTACTCTTCAAAGATTTCGTCGTTATTTGAAGACACAAAGATCATAAGAATATTTATAGACTATCTACTTCATACTCATCATTTGATAACTGCTTGTATATGCTTTAAATATTTTCATTTTATTTAAAATAAAACTAAATTCAATAAATATCAATGTTCTTTCTGAAATTTATTAGCACGATCCTTATGATGTTGATATGTGAAACAGAATATGGCTGTTATTAATATAATAAGGCATTATTAGTTCAGTTATTATAAGGAAATATTATTCATATATATGATCTGTGATCTTCTATAAATTATGTTTCCCACAATTTTTGATATTGCTATAATTATATCCGAGAGGATCTGTGTGCTAAAGCTTAGATGCGGATGGTAGCTTCTAAACGATATTTATGATGATAAATTTCAGTTAGTCAATTAAAGATTTGCTCTCTTAGTATTTTTCACTAAGTCATCTAATATGGTTTAATGTGAAAATATATAAAGGAAATGAATTTGCTGTTCAACAATATTTCAGGATGAGTGTAGAAAAATGACTAGTATAGCAATATTTAACTCACAAGGGAACCTCGCCAAGTGTTAATCGTGGATTCGAAGGAAAGGTATGCCAGTCAATAGAGCTCGACGAGCTAGTCACAGCAGTAACAGACGTTTTTCCCCATAGGGTTTTCTTTTAGAATTTTCAGGTTATAGATACTCTATACAGGGTGTGGGCGTGGGTGTGTGGGTGTGGGTGGTGTGGGTGTGGGCGTGGGTGTGGGTGTGGGGTGTGGGTGTGGGGTGTGGGCGTGGGGTG